TCTTTCCTCTTCGTAGACAATTTTCAATATTCGGGGCTGGTTCATACGTAATGGCTGAAGTTTAGCTACTGAGATTCAGTTCAGCTATTGAGCTAGTTTAGCTATTACATATGCGAGTCATGCACTCTAGCTGATGATGATAAATGTGTTACATCTATATCCTGCCTTTCTTTCTCTTGCAAGGTACCCCAAGCAGCTTAGAAGGGTTTCCTCTCCATTTTATTCCTGCAACAACCTTGAGAGGAAGGTTAAGCTCAGAGCTTCTTACTGGTTCACTTCCAGTGAACTTCATAGCTAAGTGGGAGCTAGAACCTAGTTCACCTGAGTCCCAGTCTAACACACTAATGGCCCACTGATTTCTTTGGCTGGCAAAAACACATTTCCATTCTTTACAAATTATCAAACCATGGTTTATATCGACTCTCCAAATCCAATTGGAAATACCAATTCAAATTGTTGGTTTAGATGGCAATAGAAACCAATTGTTTTCTGGTGTTGTCAAACTGTGGTTTGCCCTAACAAGGAAGATGAGACAATGATGGACAGAGAGGGAAGCAGAAGTTGACAGATCTGAGCTCAGCCAAACCATGGTTTGGTGTTATAGATATCATGTGATATGGTAAGTATTATATATTGAAGGTATGTGGTTATATTGCTGATTCTACAGAAAAGTAAGTGACATTTAGTCAAACTCAGACAAGACTATTTCCCATTTCGCATTTTTTCAAAGCATTAAGCAAATTTCTAAGGCTACTATCTGGAGGATATTGAGCTTTCTTAAGTTCATTTAAATAAAGCACATAGTTAATTCCTTAGTTCCCATTCATTTCAATGGATCAATTTCTTTGATGTTTGCCTATTAAAGTAGGAAATCCTGATCTTCTAAAAACATGAAAGGAATAACATTAGAAAGGTACTTGTGAAAATCATGTGTGATGCACATTGAAACATGTATGTTTGACTGTGTTAGTATTTTCTTTTAAACATGTGTCTTCATGAATGGAATGTATTTCCAGCATTTTTACAAGTGCTGCCTCCTTTGTAGGTGCTGGCAACAATGCCATGCTAAGCATATATTGCACCAATGAATGATTTGTCATCAGCATCATCTCTGAGGTTAGTGGCCCTTAGTAACCAGAGTTGCCCATTGTTTGTTGTTTGTTCTGCTGTCTGATACAGCAGTCTTTAGTTTCTACACGTTTATAGTGATAATGCATGCCTCACAGTGTTGTCAACAGCTAACCTTTCCAAGGCACTTGACTTAGAGCCTTTAATTTTACTTTTAACATACGTCCATGGGATGTTTACTTGGTGGCACTCTCTTTTTTTAAAAAATGTAATTTTGAAATTGCAGAGAAAGGATGTAGGTCAGTGATAGAGTGCATATGTCCTGTAGGAAAACTGCCTGGTTCAATTCCAAGCTTCTCCAGTTAGGGATGGAAACGACTTCTGTCCAAAACCATGGAGAGATGCTACGAAACAATGTAAACTGGGCAACTTAGAACTCAACACAACTTCTTTTATCTCTCACCACTAGCTATACTGGTTAGGGCTGAAGGGAGTTGTAGGCCAAAATATCTAAAGTATTCCAGGCTACAAATATGCTAAAAACTTTTTCCAATACAAATTATGATCAATATTGAATTAGAATTGATCTACTTTTTATATTGGAGGAATAGTGTCCTGCTTAGCTTTTACTGGAACAGATGTGCAAACCTATTATGTATTTTTCCCCTTTCTGTTCACCCAATGAGTTCAACAAAGCTGCACAGGAACATGGCAGAACAAGGTTCAGATTTAATTCAGAAATATTTCAATCTTTCAAATATGATAGCCATAATATAAGAAAATATGGTGGCCTGCAAAGAATAAGCAAGCTAGAGTAGTGGTCTATAATACAAAATAAATTGTGTTGCATAAATAGTGTTCTGTATATAATGACTACTTTATACTTTACACATTAAGGCCATACATGTACATACAGTGCATATTTCTTGGTTCATTGTTGCATATACCTATACATATATAAATTTATAACTATGTTGGTATGTATCACGTTTGGATTAAACATATACAGTGTCTGGTGTGGCTTTAAATTGAATCAACTAGATTAGAATAATTTAGGAAGCTTAATTTCAGCTTATTTGTTTTGTAAGAAAAGGTTTTTTTCAAGAAGGTAAACAAAATCAAAGTCAAACAGTACAAGTAAAATCATAAAATGTTAATGACTGCCAGGATTCCATTAGACTGCTATCCTATGCATGTGTAGACAGAAAAAAAGACAACCCAAATAATCATGCTGGGAATTGTAGGACCTTTTTCTGTCTAAACTTACACAGGATTGTTCCCTTATCCATTTAACACAGAAATGGATGTACAAAATGCAACTTAAGTTTTTATAGTGGTCTGTTATATCAGAATGCCTGCATGACAGGCATCTGCTGGCAGTTGGATGACTTTGCTTTTTATCTTAGAGAAATTCAGAAAACAGATATAGCAGGAATGTACTGGTCACACAAAAAGTAGATGCTTTCAAAATTTGGAATCCCCCTAACTCTACAGAAACAAAAATCCTGGTCATAATCTATCCCTAATAATGGTCCTCAACAACTAATGCAACCTAATCATATGCTGAATGCATAGTGCTGCTGGTTTACTGCGATTTCACATATTTTATCCACATAGGTGATGGAACTGACAATATTTATAAATAGAAACATGCCCTGCTCAATTACATGTATTTAAGGACTGCTTGCCAAGCATGAGCAGGCATAAAAATACCCACACAGTACTACTGGGACAATGGGAAGCACAGGCAGAATGCATATTTAGTCAAAAGTTGTATATTCTATTTCCATATCAGTCAACTATTCTAAGTCAACTATTCTAATGAGTGAAATACGAAACCAGCCCTATAGTATTATTGTTCAGGAAAACTTTTTTTGGTTTTTAGATAATATCTGCAGTCTAAGCCAACACATAAGCAATGCCTTATGTGCTTGCATCTTAATACAGGGCAGGCCAATTTCTGTGAGGAATTGTAGCTGGCATTCATGAAGCTATCAACATCTCCTGCTAGGAAGTAGGCTGGCATCTGTGTTGGTGGGAGGCTTTACTGGTGGAACTTCTGTGGGTAGTTTTTCCAGATCCACTGGGAACTCATGGTGGGGATCTCCTGTGCCTCACACCTAACAGCAGTAGGTGTTGGTGGTTTCAGAGGGCAGAGGGAGATGACTATGGTTTCTTAACAGTCATGAGGAATGCAAGAGGCAAGATAGGAATGGAAGTGCGGAAAGAAGGCATTTTGGGGGTGGGGGCAGATTTTGGGATGATTGTCCTGTTAGTCCATGTGGTTCTCTCATGTAAGGGCAGTTTTCAGAGAGCTGAGAAATGCTTCTTCCTGAAAAGCAATAGAGTTTTTGTGAACTACAGTAATCTGATAGGAGCAGCAAACATGGATGTCTCTAAGGTTACTGCAAAAGGCAGTGCAGTATGCTTCTCCACTGCCAACAACATTCCAAAGCTGCAGTGGGCAAGGAGCAGCTCTTTCTACTGGATTCTATGGTAGCCCTGTAGAAATCATGCTTCTGGATTCACATGACCAAGCAAGCCATGAAAAAGTGTATAAACCATAGAACAGACCGTTGTTTCTCTCTGTGGTTCTATGGGAACCAGATATATCACATGATAAGACCTTGACAGTGTTCATACAACATGACAGACTATACCATGGTGGTTTTCTCTGTGGCATGTCATTCTGCTTGAACCCAGCCAAGGTGTATAAAGTTAAGTGCTGATTAAAAAAAAAAGAAATTGAGAATGTAAACAAGAGTTGAATGTCTGAGGCCAATCGTACACACTTTCCCAAGCACATACTGGAGATCTTACACAGTTAGTTATCCCCAAAATATGGTACAAGAAATATGAGCTTTTTTAAGCATCTCAGTTCATATGAGAAGACCATATAATAAATGAGCCAGTAACTTAGCATTATACACTGAAAGCAGTGTAGAGGCCATAGATTCATATGAGAACATGAAACTCTGCTAGTCAATATTGACATTACTGGGCTTGAGGAATCAATGGTCTGATTCAATATAAGGCAGCTTCCATAGTCTGTGTTCCTATGTAGTAAACAACCACCTAGGGCAGTGATGGTGAACCTTTTAGAGAGGGAGTACCCAAATTGCAACCGAAAGCCCATTTATTTATTGCAAAATGGCAACACTGCAATAAAACCTGAATACTGAGGTTTTAGTTTAGAAAAAACAACTCACAGCCAGTCCAAGCAAATATATATATATCTCCTTGGCAGCGAACTGACCAGCCATGTGAAAGCTCGGATGAGTCATGGCTAATGAGTCGCGGCTTATGACATCATCACCTGGCACCACTACTCCTTTCCGAGCATGTGCATGGCCCCTACGTGTGCTGTTATCCAATGCTCGGCTGCTGGGGAGATTTGGCTCGCACGCCAACAGAGAGGGATCTGCATGCCTGCTGCGGCACACATGCCATAGGTTCGCCACCACTGACCTAGGGTATAATAGAAATGAGCAAGTTCAGACATTCTGCAATTTGCAGGTTCAAATGCCTATTTATGTTCTGGAAGTGGCAAGTACATAAATTTTGTAAATTGTCATGAGAGTTTTAATGAATGACAGTACAGAAAATCAGTCAGTCAATTCTTTAAAGTATTTGTTCAATGAAACCTTTCCTATTATTTGGAGAAAACCATAATTTTAGACTTTATAAAGTTGATGGTGAGTTTTTATAACAATCTGAAAAGGTCCATGAATGCTGCCTTAAATGTGGTTGGGTTAAGGATGACAGCATAATTGCATATAACAACAATCAGTTTATCAATAGTGAAAGTGAAAATGAGTCTAAAATTGTTTTGGATTTGCTCTAATATTTCAAGATGACCAGTTCCTGCTATGTAAGAAAAGTTCCTAATATTTGGAAACTTTATTTTTCATTACTGTCTTGTTTCTTTACAGGAGTCAGAAAGTAATAAATTATGTTCCTTGTATTCCTTCCGAAATACTTCTACCTCACCACATAAGCCCGAAGAAGGAGGTCGTGATCGCAGCGAATTAATGACCAGTGTTAATTTTGGAACTCCAGAACGCCGCAAAGGAAGCCTTGCCGATGTGGTGGACACACTGAAACAGAAGAAATTAGAGGAGATGACCAGAACTGAGCAGGAAGGTATGTGCGGATGAGGCATATTATAATTTATTTCACTTTAGCAGATTTCAAATAATGAATCACATATTGAAAACAATCACTGATAAGATAGACTTACGTTTGATACTTTAATTCAACCATGTCTACAGATACCATGTTTCCCTGAAAATAAGACCTAACTGGAAAATAAGCCCTAGCATGATTTTTCAGGATGCTCGTAATATAAGCCCCACCCGAGAAATAAGCCCCAGTTAAGATTGTCAGCCAGATGGATGGGGAAACATGGTAGTACGTCCGTTGCAACACATGATAGTTGTATTGAATTATAAAATAATAATGTTGATATATAATTAAATACAAATAAATAATATTATTGACATTAATACTTAACATAAATGATAATATACATTATAATTAAGTATTTGTAAATACCGAAGCAGGTGCCTTTGGACGAGAGGAAAATGCCTTTGTAAACAGATGGACTCGGGACTTATTGCTGAATGACCCAGAGTACAAAAACAACTCACAAATAATGTCAATATGTTGTGTCTTGTAACTGACGTACTTAATGCATGGATGCAAAATCCATGATGGGTGCAAAAAGAAAGAGCTATTTTGTTGAGTACAAGAAAGGAATCTTGGAGGACTCTTGGGACAAGAATCTTTCGGCTTTTGTAAGAAACCCCCCCCCCCCCGAAAATAAGCCCTAATGCGTCTTTTGGAGCAAAAATTAATATAAAACCCGGTTTTATTTTTGGGGAAACACGGTATAACAATGGATGCCAATTGTTATATTTGCCAGTGTATATACTCAACACACAAAATGCAAATGAGGTATCGACATTAAATGAAACTGAATGTATTTTGTGCTAAGCAATATTTTGGTGGAGATTTTGGAATAAATACCGTGTTTGGTAGTCTGGTAGGAATTCTGCTAGCATGTCAATGTAGATTTGTCCTTCAATCTTTGTTTAATACTTCCAGGAAAGTTGATGCAGGTGAGATTAACTGGTTGGGAAGGAATGCAAAGGAAGAACAGATTTTTCCTATTGGAAGTATGCACTTCCAAGGTAATTGTGCTTTTCTGGTACATGAGAACTGTTTTGAAAATAGTACCATAAGCCTATTACATTATCTTTGAGAAATTCAAAATACCCTTTGGTGTGGCTAAGCATTTGGTAGATAGAGCAATAAGTTGTGAAAGTAGTACTTGGTAGTAAATTTATTCTCCAATTCCAGAGAACCATTTTGTGTTCCACTGATTAAAATAGGTTTCAAGTATACAAAACAAACGTGATAAAATTCATTCTGTGCCTACACCCTCCAAGGAAATGCCTCTGCCTTAGGAGGAGTTATAGGAAGTTTGAAGTTATCTTTGTGCTCTAGAAGAAGAAAAATGACCCACTCATTTGTAAGCAGATGCCTGGGTTTGTTCATATATTACGTTAGCATACCACATTGACTGTTGCAAACTCTTCTGTGTGTCATATTAGAGCATGCAGCATAAAATCTCTTCTTCTATTGTTCAGATAAGAATATATTTGTTAGACGTTTCCTAGTTCACAAAGCAGATTGGGTCCAAATCCTGGTGAAAGCCTCAGGTCCATAGATTTTGATAGCAAGGTAAAAAGATGGGGTAGATTCAGAATGCCAAGGTGAAATTTTAAGACTTTGCAATTGTAGAGCTAATATAGCACCCTATCTGTGAATGGGGAGGGAAAACTGTATGTAGAAGTATATGCATGACAGAGTCTACATCTGTTTCTTGGCTTGCTTTTTATATGACAAACACAGTTAAATATGTTCTATAAAGGTGTCTTAGGCTTCTCCACAGCGATAATGTCCCAGTTTTTTTTCACAGCCATCTGTCTTCAGATTTGGAGCTCTGAAGTTCTTTTTTTCCTTTCAAAATAAGTTGCTGACTTCAATTTGATGGCTAGACTATGGAAGCTATTTTAAATTTACATTTATTCAGGCACTACAAAGTTATAAAAATGGTTGTTGATCACATTGCAAAGAAACTAAGATTTATTTTGAGAAATTTTGTTAGCAGTCTGTTCATTCTCCCTTCCAATGATTTGCAATATCTGTTGGACCTCTTTCCTCCAGTTAGTCATTCTGACCTTCTGTTTTATTAGCTTGTGCTGTACCTAATTTTGGTTTCAAACCCACTTAACTCAGTGAGACTTACTTTTGAGTGGACATATAGAAGATTGCGCTGTTAATTGCAATGAAGTTTGTCCTCACATATTTAACAGAGAAAATGAATTAATATTGGAATGCTTCATGGTTGATCTTCCTGGAGAACAGTATTTCAATGGATAATGTTGTTCTTACACTGGAGTAGAGTATTCTACATAATTATATAAACACCCATGCATTTAATGTTGGCTACATCTTTCTTTTGAATTATTTTCACAGCCTTGGATGGATTGTTCAAATGAAAAAAAAAAAAAAAAACTCACCCATTACAAGAAATAGGATGCAAATTTACAGCAAATTTTAAGTTAATGAAATAGCAGGAAAATTTACTTTAAAATAGTTATTTCCATATTGATGTCATTATGCCTCAGAATCTCTGTTGTGGTTTGTTTTTTTCATTAAAAGCAGAACATAGCATATTTTAAGAATATATCTGATTTTCCATTTGTTTGGGATAGGACAAAACAAATATACTCACAAATTATTGCTTAAAGTTAAACTGCAATTCCTGTCTTTTTTTTTTTGAACAATGCATTAGAATAGAACATGAATTTTACAGTAATGGCATTTATAAGGGTCTAACATTGAAACAATATCATCTGTGCCTTTTCATAATAGGAAAAATTCTTGACTTTGGTACGGGGCTGCCATAGCAGAGAATGGTGATAGTCAATCAGAACAGTCTTAAGGGGCCCTCCTGCTTTGGAAATAAATTAATTTTGATCAATCAAAGCCTTGGCATCCAATGCATATTCTAACCTGTGCAACAAGGCTGGTCAGCTTGCATTCCCAAAGCACAGTTGGTTTGCCTGTGGGTTTTTTTTAAGTAAAATGAAAGTTGACATATATTTTCTACGTACATTTGGGGATACCAGTTTCAGAACAACATATTGTAGGATAAATGTAGAAAATTCAAACTGTAGCTAGCCTCTTCCATTCTTATAAAATGATATGCAAATGAGGCCAATTATTGCAACTAACATATGCAAATTGATTGTGACCTTCTGCCTTATAATATATTTTTGATGTGGCCTTTTCTACTGAGCTAGTTGTCCATCTCTGCAGTAGACCAATAAAGCCTTCTAGTTGTCGCTTGACTTTAATAAGCATATGGCCTTCCTGCTGGGGTGGGGGAACATTTGTGTGTAGAACTGTAGAACAAAATGTTTCACATGGATATAGTTTTTATGTCATTTGTTAGTGTATATGATCCTTAGTGTATGTAGTGTTTTAGCCAACAGTTACAACAACTGGCAGTTGTGAGGAAATGAATGCACATTTAAAGACTTTAAAGTGTCTAAGTAAATATATTTAATCAGAGTCCTTTGGCTTCTGGAAATAAGTTGTCTAATCAGAATTTCACTTGAGCAGCTGTGACTGAGTAGGTCAACAGGCCCTGCCTAAGAGAATATGGCCCAGCTGGTTAAATCTGGTTGTTGTAGCGATTTAAATGGTCAAGTGCTGCTTGTAATCCAGAACCGTCTGTCTGTAAAAGGAAGAGTAAGTGCTTCAGCATAATGTACAGCTGTTTTAATCTCTCCTTAATAATAGTGCTTCAGCCAATATCATGTCTTGTATATCACATGACAAAACAAGTGTCTTAGCTGGGATAGATATACCTTGCTTTATTTTGGTAAAAAAAGAGAAAGAAATCCATGTGGCTTTGGACATTCCTGCACAGGACTATACAGTATTTGTCAATGCTTAAGCTGTATGGTCTAATTCACGTGTTGCCTACAACTGAGAGAGAAACAGGTATTGCTTTATTGCTTGCAGTTTTACAGAATTTGGTAAGCAGACACATTATTTTACTGCTGCCTTCCTGAATGCTGATTGGAAACTGTGGAGCAGAATAGACAGCTCACTCCACCCATAGGTCATAGGCCTATCTCATCTTTAGAAATGTGGTCTAAAATACCTTATATGGTAATGACATGAACTGCTCATGCTGCCCTTAGCCAAAACCTAGGATATGACTAGTGGCCAGGTCCTGAAGTAATTAGTCTGTGTGCCCACTCTCAGGAAGGTTCATAACGTGCACATGGTGGGCATGTCGTGAGCAGAGCCGGCTGGTGCCGGAGGTCAGACTAGATGGCCCGGGAGGCCCCTTCTGACTTGCTCTGTTTCTGTAAAAGAAGTGGTAACCTTTACCTGGTGGCCAGTTCTACTGGAGAAGACATTACGTGACTCTACTTCCAAGCTATTGGAAACTGTTCAGTGACATATGGAAAACAATAGGTCACCCCCTCCTGCTGCTAGTGCAGAGCAGTTCACACCTCTCTAAACAATGTGCTACAAATTATTAGCAGTTTAAAATCTAAATTTCTTTGCATACAATTGCATGGATTGTATGTTGAAACTACAGGCCTTTTGTATAAAGTACTTAATAAAGTGCTAGATTCAATACAGTTCAGCATTAACTGCCACTAAGAGATGCTAGAGAAGTTTTCAGCAGACTCAAATGAGTACATTTCTAAGAATCTGACCCATAGATTCTGGCTTTTCCTAAGTCATGTGAATTTATGAACTTACAGACTTTTAAAAAATGTAATTTTATGCAAATTTAGTAATAGAAAAATATTTTCCCTTTAAAGTAAAGCATGAGAGATTTGCATATTTTAGGGACTACAAATATCCTTTCCTGTGGTGAGGCAGTTTGAGAGTATCAGGGAAGCTGAGAGCAATGCTGCTAGGAGGCCATACTGTCTTACCAGATTGGTCTCCTAGCAGAGTCATCCAATGTGGAATGGTCAAACAGAAACACCAGATGAAGATGCAGCCACCCATTTTAGAAGTAACAGCCACATCATTGGAAGGAA